CGCTAACAGATGAGTTACTGTCGACTGTATAAGACTCTTGAGATGTGAGCACTCCTGCTAATCCCTTGAAGTTTCCATGTGAGGGGTTTTTACAGTGCGGACTAAAACCAACTCCCCCAGTTGCACCGTGGTACTGCGAAGAAAAAATACGGGTGGGAGTCTCTGTACGTGTGGGAAGTTTCTTCGGTTTTCTCTGCTGCGTATTTTGTTCCCAGGATTGATATTTCGTGGTAGAACACTCCTTCCGTGAGTTTTCGAGATCTCTTTTTTGTCTTTTCGGTAATGGTGGTGGTGCTACTCCTTGTGGAGGTCCTGTTGGGGTCGTGAAATTTCAGTATTGTTACAAAATAAAAATTCCTGGTTGTGTTGATATCATAAATCTGTCGAGGTTGAACTAGTGGTTGAAAGACTGAAAGAGGTGCTCGTTGTAGTGGTCGTTGTCAGACCTGTAGATGTTGAACTGAAGGTGTTGTAGTAGTGTGGTAGTCAGATCAGTGGCGGTTGAGCTAGTAGTCGTTAGACTTGTGGATGTGCTAGTCGTGCTCGTTGTTGTAAGGCTTGTGGACGTTGAACTGGTTGTTGTGGTGGTGGTCGCAGTCGTCAGATCTGTCGAGGTTGAACTAGTCGTTGTCAGACTTGTGGAAGTGCTGGTAGTGCTAGTAGTGGTAAGGCTGGTAGATGTTGAGCTTGAGGTTGTGGTTGTGGTGGTTGTGGTCAGATCGGTAGAAGTAGAACTAGTCGTTGTTAGACTGGTCGAAGTGCTAGTCGTACTGGTCGTTGTGAGACTGGTAGACGTCGAGCTGGTTGTGGTAGTGGTGGTCGTTAGACTCGTGGAAGTGCTGGTGTACTGGTGGTTGTCAGATCCGTAGATGTTGAACTCGTTGTTGTGGTCTCGTTGTGAGATCAGTCGATGTGGAACTTGTTGTGGTTAGAGTGGTGGATGTAGAACTAGACGTTGTTGTGGTGGTGGTGGTGGTAGTAGTGGTAGATGTAGAACTGGAAGTCGTTGTAGTGGTGGTCGTTGTGAGATCCGTGGAGGTGGAACTCGTCGTGGTCAGACTTGTGGAAGTTGAAGTCGTGGTTGTGGTCGTTAGACTAGTAGATGTTGAACTGGTCGTCGTCAGACTTGTCGACGTGCTTGTGCCGGTGGTGGTGGTACTAGTCGTTGAGGTCCCTGTGGTGGTTGTGCTCGTGGTGGACGTGCCAGTTGTGGTAGTGCTAGTGGTGGACGTGGATGTGGTTGTAGTACTTGAGGTGGAGGCGGTGGTGGTTGTCGTGGTACTGGAAGTCGTCGTGGTTGTTGTGGATGTGGAGGTAGAGGTTGAGGTAGTCGTGCCGGTGGTGGTGGCTGTGGCCGATGTAGAGGTAGAGGTAGACGTTGTAGTTGTGGTGGTAGTCGATGTACTGGTCTGAATAGAAGTTGTGGTGGAAGTTGTGGTTGTGCTTGTCGTCGTAAAGGAGGTGGCTCGGCCAAGGCAGTTGTAGGTTGGATAAGGGGTAACAATTTGGCGAGACTTGAAAAAACACCGTGCGGAGTGGTTGACACATAGGACGAGAACACGCCCCCTCCATTGACAGCGTAAACTACCGGACTGTTCGGGGCACCGCAAGCAATGTTGTTGGCATCCCCGCATGGAACCCTACAGAATCCCATATTGTCGAATGTGAGACCGCTATTCACGGTTGGGGAGCAGTAGCAGTCCCTCCCGTTGACCATGCCCATCGCGTCATAATTGCCTGCGTTGCAAATGCTTGCACAGTTCTCCAGTGTTGCAGGACTGATGTTCAATCTCGTGAGAGAAAGAGCCGAGTTGAAGACCGCCGTTCCGCCACCCGTACCAAATACGCTGCTTCCGTAGCAGCCGTTGATCAGATAAACACGCTGACCTGCTGAGACCGAAGGAGGTCGAATCAGAGCTGGTCCGGTGTTGATGATTAAACTGGAGGGATAACTTGGCTGCGCCAGAACCTTCGGGGGACCCAGGAGACTGGTTGGGGGATCAAAACACTCATAGTCTGGCTCAGCTTGCGTTGCCTTAAAGCCCGGGATGATCGGTGAGTAGCAACCCTGGAGCTCGGGGTTGATATAGACAGGCATATACGGTCCCCGGCCGCAACACCTCCCGGTGGCAATATCGCAGTTGCCGTTGGTACTATGATACATCTTGTTAACTCGGTAATCCCTAAGGCCACCTTCCCTGAACTGTTGGGGGTTTGCTTACCCCCCAAGTGATGTACATGTTGTGTTGCAGTCTCCAGGGACAGGGAGGAGTTCTGGTCTAGCTCGAAATGAAGGAAAGCCAAACGTGGTTCCGCAAAAGCATCGAGTTGAACCGCTGAGTTCATGTTAGCTCTCCTCTTTTCAAGGCAAGACGACCTGGTCCATACGAATCTACCACGCCTGCCACGAGGGGATAACCCAGGCCAGCACATCTGTTCCAACACTCGTCGACCGTGGGGACGGTGAAAGTGGCACGGCTGTCACCCGAGGGCATGCCACTCGGGAGATAGAAGCAGCCCAAGTAGTTGTAAAACCCTGCAATGTACGGGTTTTGCGCTTGAATCGGCACCTGCGAGTTTGCAGCAAAGGAAGGGTCGACGTAGATTTGAGCGTCTGAGCCGCCACCGCAGGTCTGATTGGGGTTGCCCTGGCAGGGAATCTGGCAGACTGCATCTTGCGTTGGGCTGTATCCCACAGGTAGCTGGATACCGCATCTGCAGGAGTTATCTCTCATGGCGGCAAACTTGTACCCGAAACCACGACAGGCTCGGGCACAGTCAAGACCGGTAGCGGTGTTGTTGTAGTTGGAGCCGGGACTCCATCCTGGAAAACTCCTTGAGGGATCTGACGGCAGATAGCCCTGCGGATCGAACTGGAAATATGTCGGCTGGGCGACGGAGATGAAGTTCTTGAAGCATCCTAGATTGATAAAGTTGTCAGAACCGCAGGCTTGTAACTCACGTTGTACTGTGCCATAGTAGGCTTGTCCATCGGTGATGCCCGCAAAACTCAATATGGTCAGGAGCACGGCCAGAATGGCCTGTCCCGTCCGGTTCCGCATCCTTGCGGTTGTCTCGCTGGGCAAAATCAATTTCCTGGGAGGCAAAGGCAGGCAGGTGAAAAGCCGGATGGTAGAACAGGACTGTCAAAGTGACGAGCCAGCAGAAAGCAGCCTTGGCTACGGAGGCAGAAAAGAATGACTGCGGGACGTAGCCTCAGGGAGCTGACGAGAAAAAGTTCTTGACAGCGGCCCGCGAGCGTGCCCGGCAACGTGGGTTTGTATATGATAACCATCGTGACACTGGCGTCGCGAACGCGGTCCACTTTCCCCATGGTTGTTGAGACGCGACCAAGACAGGGCGATCGAGGCATGGAATGTTCACTGAGTGGTGGGTAGAATTTGAAGTGATGAAGAGAGCAAGGAGAAGGGGAGAATTCCTGGTGGTCTCAGTCCTCAGGAATAAAAAGGGATGAGGGGCCAATCGATCGGGACGGCATTTCTAGGGAGAGTGGCTAGGCAACATGTACAACGAGGGCGAGGGACAAATGTGCACTGAGTGAGTGAACCATCGATATTTGTGTAAGTTGGTGATGCTATCATCTAGATACCTAACACTTTAGAGCTGTGCATCAGTAGAAGCCATGCGTTTCCCTCGCAAAAGCTCACTTACAATGGTGTTTCCATCCCGGACTCCCAACACCCGTCCGCTCGTCCCAGACAAAACCTGACCCGTAAAACCGACGATGGTTTCTAACAGCAAAAGCAGCAGAGTGCCAACTTGGCGGAAAATGATAAGCATAAAAGATCCAACTCCCCAGCCATCCCCGGGCTCTCGCATGGAGTTATCAAGTGGTGCCATGGTCCAAGTTCCACGCCCCCTAGCCATCGAACTCGACCCCAACAACTTTGCCAGCCCCCGCGCCCTTGCCAGGCTCATTACCGGCCCCATTCCCACCACCCCCACCCTCGGGACTCCCGCTGGCACGTCCGGCACCTGCCGCTGTCGCGTCACTAGCTTCAGCGTCTGCACCTGTCAAGAGGTCTCGGTCCGAACTGCGCACGCTTCGCCGTTCCGCATCGCCAGAGTACGCCCCACTCTTTCCAGCCCCTGATGGCCGTCCAAGCCCCACATCATCGTCCTCTTCGTCGTCGTCCTCCTCGGTGCGCTGGCCTGGGAGTGCGTTCTTTTCAAGCTCGCGCTGGGCCTCCTCCATCCTACGGCGGACTTCAGCCGCCACGCGCATCCCGTCGGTGACAATGTTATCCAAGACACCGCGCAGGCCGCGACCTCCAGCGGCAGCACCAGGTGCCCCGGGAGCGCCACCGAGCGCGGCATTGACAGCCCGTCCGGCGCCGATACCAAGACTGGAGAAGGTAGTCAAGGACGATGCGCTGGTGGGTGTGGTCGAAGAGGCCAGACCCTCAATAATGTGAAATGATGCTGGGAAGGATGACTCGAAGAACTGTTCCAGAAGCTCGTCTGCAAGTACAACCATGCGGAATGTTGGGAGAGTAATGTGCAACGGGTTTGATGGGTCCAAGGCGGCGTTGGCCTTGACCGACTGAGCTTTGGACACCCGTCTTCGTGCTGACATGTCATCGTCCGTGGAGAGCCCTGCAGATGCTGAATTCAGTTGCAGCTCAGGTGGCTGGCCGAGCTTTTTGTCAGGGCGAACAGCTGCTGTTTTGGGACTTGCGGATGGTGATTCCATGGCCATGAGATCGTCATCGTCATCGTCGTCATCGCCAATGGCGAAGGCGTCGGGGTCTGCGAGCTCCTCATCATCCTCTAGCTTCTGCGCATCTAGTCGTTCTTGCACGTCTTGTATCGCATTTTGATTCTGTGGATGATCCGGGTCGGCATATTCAAAGCATCTCCTGATGAAGGCGCTGACGCTGCCAAGGAACCTCTCATTGATAGAATGGCCTGGGTTCTCGCCGCCACCGTTCACGTTGTCTGTACTGAGGGCGAGATTCGAACTTGACGGGCTTAGCGTGCCTTCCAGCCCACGGCGAGATAGGAAAAGCAAGGCCTCGGACATGCGCAAAATGCCTTCGCGATCGACCCTGCCGTCTCCGTCGTCATCGTGTAGTTCAAAAAAGTAGTTGATGGTGCCCATGATGTCGCGCTTCCCTTTGATACGAGCCATGCCCGACACAACGTTTTGGAGAGTGAGAGCGGAGGCGGATCCCACGTCCCACTTCGCAAACAGTCGCTGGACAAATTCATGATCTGCCGGTTCGGGACCTGCCCCCCAGGGAGACAACGTCACGTCACCTCGTCTAAAGCTGCCGTAGAAGCCTGTCTGCCTATCCCCCGTAGTCTCACGTCGCGGCGTGCTGGGTGCGTCTGAGATGGCCCATCTGGACATTCCCGCCAGGAATTCACGGAACGCGTCATAGTCCATCAGGCTGGTGCTCGGTCCCAACCCAACCCGACCTTTCTCGATGCTTTCGTCGTGTCCTTCAACAGCAGCCGCCCGTGAGCGGCTGTTCTTGGCTCGCCTTGCTTGCTCCTGCTTAATGATGTGGTCTCGCTGTTGTCTCTCGTACAACACGCCATAGAACCTGTCGTACAAGGCGGCCAACTCATCGGCGCTCAGCAGCTTGCTATCGGGGCCAAGATTTCTGATGGCCGTTCGCTTTGCAAAGCTCTCGATGTTGTTCAGGACGGCGTCCTTGTTTTTGAGGCGAAGCTCGGTAATACTGTTGTGCGTGATGCCCGAGAACTCCTTGAAGGCCACCACCATGAGCTCCTGGAACCGAGTGACCGCCCTGAGTTTGGGATTCTCAGACTTGGGGTGAGCAGATTCATCGAGACGGGCAAAGTAGGACTTGAGGACCGAGATGAAGGCTCCGTCATCCGCCGCATCTAAGAGTTCCTCTCCGTTTATCCTCAAGATGGCCAGGCCAACCTGGAACAGCACTTTGGGGCCCTCGACAAAGAACACGTCCAAGACCCTGAAGGCGAAGACGAGAGGCATCGAGTTGATATAAAGCGAGAGGAACCAAGGCAGCGACACGACAGACAGCTGCACGTCACTCTTCACGAGATGTTCCCACAAGATGGGCATGGTCTTCTCCACCAAGGACTCAAACACCTTTTGGTCGAGAAGGGTGCCGTACATGGTGGTTGAATAGTAACCCGGCACCAACCGATCGCACAGGGCGGAGAGAAGGAAGAAGGCCTGTGCTTCTGACATGTAGATCAGCAAGGCCGCAACGACAATGTTCATCGCCTGGCAGTAGCCAACATCGGCATTGACCCAGCTGTAGGCAGTCAAGACCCGCCGAAGACGGCCGATGCCCTCCTCGCTCTGGAAGCCAGGATATTCCGGAAGACTGCGATTCAGGTCCTTTTCGATCTCATCAATAGCCAGAGATTCCATGCCCGAATGCTTGGCGAGCGTGTCGGCGTACAGTGTTGGGTTTTCAAGCCGCAGATATAGCGACCCAGACGTCAGCTCCCACATCTCACCCCTCAGCCTGTTCGGCAGCCCGACTCTGATTAGTTTGTGGAAGGTAGGCTGACGGATTAATGTCGCATTCCGTCCATTGTCTCTCAAATACTCGGCCCACAGCCGCATCTTGGCCCTGTCTCGAAGCTTCTTGGGATCGCCGGGGTACTTGAAAATGAGGCCCAAGCCGGCATCGGGAGGCGTCGCATTTTTCTGTTCTTCGGGTCGGAGAAGGTATTCAGAATAGCACTCGCTCACCACCTTTTTCAGTTTGGCCACATTTCCAACGTTTGTTCGGAGACCCTTTTTTAGACCATCGCAAAACCTCTCACATGCCTGCCGACTACTGGCCAGCTGGATGGTAATCCGTTGTTCTCTTAGGTCCTTCTTGTCCTTGTCCTTGGCGGCTTCCTGGCTTATACCGTTCCATGTGCTGATAGCTAGGGCAAACTGCAGGCGCATTCAGTGTAAGTCAAAGCAAAGCAGGGCCGTTGAGAGGAGGCTTCTTACCTGAAAGTTCTGGCTGTGAAGCCGCTCGACCCTCCGAATGGATGACAGGGGGAAGGTGAAGCCGTTCCCGCTCGGCCCTCCACCGTGTGTCTGGCCAGTGAATACCGACGAAGTCGGGGTGCTCGCAGACTGCAAGAAACTGGATGGTGTGGTAGAGAAGCAGAGGTAGGACTCGGACAGGTGAAGCTTTCCGGCGTACTGGTAGCCTCTTTCACGGTCTCTGTCGCTCTGTGTGGCGTTGGCAAGGGGAATGGTAAGCTCGGCGGTGATCTCGTAGAGCGGGTGTTGAGAGGCTGGAAGTCTAAACTGGGCTTGAAAGAGGGATGCTTTGGATGGATTTCTGTCCGAGTCGGTGATATTCAAACCCTGAGTGGGGTCCAGTAGCTGTTGGGCTTTTTGCACGAAGCTGGAGAGGTTCAACATGACGAGATTATTGCGTGTATTTGCCTATTCAAAAGAGTGTGTTGGTGGTAATCGGTGCTGGCCCTGCGGCGGCACGAAGCGGTTCGCAAGATCGCAGGGCGGGCTCGGCGTGTGGTCAAGGTTGGACGTGATCGGATGGCATTGCCCAGCAATGTACTGTAGTATAGGTTGCGTGTGTGCGTGTGTGTGTGCGTGGTTTGGTCCAAGTGGCTTACAGTCAGTCGACCACTGCCCCAGCTGAGAGCAAGGCTGTTGTTTGCTCGTCGGTGCAGTGCAGTCAGTGTTGCTGATGCTTCGAGACGGACTGACAGAAGCCTGGCAGCCACAGTCCATGCAGCTGGTGGCTTGGCACGGTTGTGGATTGTGGGGTCTCAGGGAACCTTCTGCTTCGAGCTTGCCCATCCATGCTACCCATTGCCGCACACACACAACCCTGGCTTAACCCTGAGCTAAGCTCGGATCGTGCGGCAAGGGTCTAGTGCCTAGCTGTAGAAGCGCCCTATGCCCCCTCTGCGCTACGCTAGGACCTGGTTTCAACAGCGACAGCCAGCCTCTCTCTCTCACATTCCTTCCTAGAATCCTCTTGAGGATGCGACTGTGGGCACAAATGGAAACGAAACACCAGTCCTACTCCTGTCCAGGGGCCCGTTCCGGCGTCAGAACCCGGTCACCACGTTTCGGTTTGGAAGCCGGGGTTATCCAGCCCTGGTAGACGCCGTTGCTTCCGAGTGCTGTCTGGTCCTTTGATATCCCAGACATCCCAGTTCACCATCATCACCATTGCCGCCCAAGTTGACCGGATCCTGATTCGTCAATGCCAAGGCCAGAGCGGACCTGCCATCGAGAACACCCGAGACTTTGCGCGCTGCCAGCAGATGCTTGGAACCGTCAACCTGCATGGCGAACGTCATCCGCAGGCCATGAAAACATGCCGGGATCTCTTCTTCTTCAGCAGCAGCAGCAGCAGCAGCAGCAGCACCGCCTCTAAAGATTCCGCAACCCCCTCTCCTACCCCTTTGTTCCCCTTGATGAACCTCGAGCCCCTCTTGTTTGCACCCACCCCACGCTTCTCTGTACCCCGCGACCCGAGCCGCAGATACACACCCGCATCCACCATACCCCGTCATTGTCCATAGGTCCGTCCTTTGCCGTCGGCCCCCCTCATCGCATCACTAGTACAGTCTTTCCCCCTCCTCCCTCAGCCCGGCCTCTACCGCTGCTACATATCCTTGTGAGGCTGGGCTCCCTCTTTCTGATCTCATAGCGCTCACCAGCAAGCGCTGTTTCTCGTAGTCTCTTGTATCCTCCCCCTATCAAATACCTACGTTGGCGCATTCATAAAGTGTCCCGTGGCGAAGGCTTCGATACGCAGCCGGCTCTTCCCGCTTCAGGCCTCATTCGTCGCTTTCTGCACCCCAGCGCGCCCATAATGGCGGCCACTGTTGCGCATTCACAACAACCCCTCTCGCCTGGGGGCCCAGCAAGTAATGGCGGCGGCGGCGGCGGCGGCGGTGGTGGTGGTGGTGCTAGTGGAGGAGGTGGTGGTCTTCATCCCTTGATGGCGGCCGCGGCAGCCAATGCCGCGAAGCAGCAGCAACAGCAGTCTCAGCAAAGGATAAATGCCCGCGATCAGGAGCCGTTTGATTTAACGTCCAAGAAGCTAAGTCTGGCCGATTTCTCAAGGGTGAGAACGTTAGGAACGGGTGAGTTGAAGCTTTCCTCCCTACCGCATCCGAGTCCTGTACTAACCGCCACAATCGCACAGGAACATTTGCGCGCGTATGCCTTGTTCGGCCATCGCACGGTACCGAAGCCGATCGCAGCAAAGTCTACGCTCTCAAAATTCTCCGCAAGACCGAGGGTACGTCTCATCTATTTTCACAGCCGTCCTAACCTCGCACTAACCTTTGGTTCCCTCTCAGTAATAAAGCTAAAGCAAATCGACCACGTCCGCCACGAGCGGCAAATCCTCTCCGATGTCTCAGGCCACCCCTTCATCACCTCCTTCCAGGCCTCCTTCTCCGACCATGACTTTCTGTATATCCTCCTCGACTACATCCCCGGCGGCGAGCTCTTCACCTACCTCCGCAAATACCGCCGTTTCGACGAGGACATGGCCCGGTTTTATGCTGCTGAAATCGTCCTCGTGCTCGAATACCTGCACGAACACCAAGGCGGCATCGCCTACCGGGACATGAAGCCGGAAAACCTCCTCCTCGACGCAGAAGGCCACATCAAGCTCGTAGACTTTGGCTTTGCGAAACGGCTGGGCAACAACGAAAACGATCATCCCGAAGAGACGTACACCCTCTGCGGCACACCAGAATACCTCGCTCCAGAAGTGATTCACAACAAGGGGCACACCACAGCGGTAGACTGGTGGGCGTTGGGGATTCTAATCTACGAGTTCCTAACTGGGTACCCACCGTTCTGGCACTCGAACCCAATCGAAATCTACAAACAGTATGTTCCCCCCCCCCTCCCTTTTTCGTCTCAAACTTCCCAGCTGCCCCCTTAATAACACTTATCTCCCAGAATTGTAGAAAAACCGGTCGTCTTCCCCCAAGACCCACCCATCTCCCCAGAAGCAAAAGACATCATCCTCCAATTCTGCACGGTTGATCGTTCTCGAAGGTTAGGCAACATCAGCGGCGGCGCTGCCAGGGTAAAAGCTCACCCTTTTTTCAAGGGGGTGGACTGGGATGCGGTGCTGGCGAGGAAATACAAGGGTCCGATACTGCCACCGGTGAGGTACCCGGGGGATGCGCAGTGTTTTGATATTTACCCGGAGGAGGATGATAGGAAGGAGGAGTATACCGGTGAGATGGCTGAGAAGTATGACGAGTATTTTAAGGATTTTTAGTCGGTGATGCTACGGGTTGTGTTTTTTTTTTGTTTTTTTTTGTTGTTTTGGAACGGGTTTGGGTGGGGATACCAACATCCTTTTGTTGTTTTTGGTTATTTTTGTCAGGGTATGAGAGGGATTATTTCTGCCACGGTCGGGCAAGTGATTTGAGACTTTGGGAATTGGAACGGCGTTATGGGAAATTGGTACGAGGAGGTTATATTTGTGGTCTGGGTCACTGACTGGTGAGGGGTAGCATGTTGAGATATTTGAAGATTTTGGAGCGGTTGGAAGTCGAAATTTGGCGTTCAGAAGGGGTAGGAGTTGCTAGCGCCGCAGATGTAAAAGGACGAGCATATGCTGATGGAAATGGGAGAGAAAGCGTGAATGATATGAGAAGACGAGATATGCACTAGGCGTGGATCAGTTGGTTGTATACCTAAGGTACTTTTGATGAAGAGAATAAGTGATCAATAGAAAAGAGAGATGGTCAAGAACAGTTTCCTGACTGATAGTATTCGGACAACTTTGCTTGCCGCTGCTGGCTTAATGAGAGAAAAAACATTGATCCACCTTCTGGGAATAAATGTCCAATGAATTTAATAGCTGCTGCTCTGGATATCTCTCATGTGAGAGCGAGGGAGGGCCAAGGTGACATTTCTGAGATGTTCTCGTCGGCCAAAATGATAAGACGGCCCAATAGATGGATGGTGATCAGTGAGTGTGGCCTTGAGAGTTGGTCACAAACCAGCCAAGATACCTTCCCTAGCACCCTGCCCACAGAATAATGGACACAGCAAGAGTAAGTTGGTCTATATAATGTTGTAAACCATGCCTTGGAAGTACATTAACAGGATTGTGAAATATCATAAAAGACCTTTTGATTATCTTTACAGGGCTATTAGCTATAGTTAAATGCCTAGTGGTTACCCTGCAAGGTGTAGTAGTTTTCATTATAATATGGGCTATCCTATTGTGTCAATTATTCTGTGGGCAGGGTGCCGAGCTAGCTGTATGTCTTCTTTTGTTGTTCGGCTCTTCTAGTTTGAATCTCCACACACAAAAGACACAGCAGCACCATCTTCTAACATAATCAATATCCTTTAAGCAGATATAGGTAACTGCAGCTACTCACATACACTATTGGGAAGAAAACACTAACAAAGCCGACGAGAGCAGAATCGTATGTCACTTTCCTTCTTCCTCTTCATAGGTAAATAGGGGTAGGTATCAAAAATGTAACTAAAATAAAAACACATTGCTCACACTTCCCCCAGTGCCATATTACGCCTTGATCTTTCCGTTTCCACCAAATCCCACCCTTCCATGTCAGCCAGTTCCTTTCTTTCCTCCCACGCCCCAGTCCCTTATGGTATCGATACACCCCGCCCAATCGTTCTTCCAATGTAAATGCCCTAAGATGGTAAAACAAACCGAACAAAACAGACAGGCAAAAACGCCAAAGCGATGACAGCGTACCCCCAAAGCAAAAGCAGGTTTCGTAAGGATAAAACTCCAATCCAATCCAAGAAAGGAAAAAAGAAATGTGTGGTGTGGTCTGGTAGTGTCAGTCGAAAACGGAAATTCACTTCGCAATCCCAACCTCAGCTTCAGGCTCAACCTGAACCTCGTCTACCGTGATACTCTCCATCCCCGCCACCACAGGCAATATGTACTCCTGCTGCTGCTCGTGCTCAGCTACTATTTGCTGTTGCTGCAGGACCAGCTGTTGTTCCTCAGGCCACTTTGGCCCCCCAAGTCTCACGAAGGCGACCCCCAGCTCTCTCTCCATTCTCACTCGAAGGATCTCCATCTCCAACTCCCACTTCCACTCTAGCCTCCTCCTCCTCTCCCTAAAGACCCCTACCATCTCTTCTTCCTCGTTTGTAAACTCAACCGCCAAATCCTCAATCTCTTCCGCTCGCCTGTCCATCAGCGCATCCATCTCCTTCTCATGCCGTTCAATCAGCTCCTCCAGCGCCTTCGCTTGCTTCTCCCTCAACACATTAATCTGCGACTGATGCTTCCTCTCCATCCCATCCCGTATGCAGTACTGCTGCCTCAGCTGTTCCCTATCCTTCATCGTGATCTCCCGTCTCGGCATCTTCCTCTCCTCCGGATCCGCACTCAGCTCACTCGCCGACGGCCGGTGCCTCCCACTGCAATAATCCTCCATATACTTCAGCTTCAGCCTAATCTTCTTCTCCTTCTCCTCCAAACTCGCCAACAGCTCAAACTCGGCCAGCACCTGCCGATCCTCCAAATGCTGCTCCGTCTTCGCGTGCCTCTCCCTCATCTTCTCCGTCAGCTCGTCATACTTCTCCCCCAGCGCCATCCTCTTTTTCGAGTGCCTCTCCTTCATCTTCTGCTTCGCCCCCAGCTCGAACGCCCTGAACCGATGCATCTCCGCCTCTTGTTCTCTTTTCAACATCCTAAACTCGACATTATCCAGTGTCCTCCTCTCCCTCTCCTGCCGCTCCCTCTCCTCCTGCTCCGCCAACTTCTCCCTCGCCAGCTCCTCCGCCTCCAGCTCCGCCAACCTCGCCTCCTCCGCCACCCTCCTCCGCTCCAGCTCCTCCTCCCCGTTGCAAAAATTCGGACACCCCACGCACGGATCCCAGACCGCACCGCAAATGTAACAAAACTGCGCCTTGCACCGACAGGTGATATGCGTGCATCCCTGCGCCAGCTCCACCAACGTCCGGCACTTGTAGCACCTCCTCCACCCGGAACATTCACCAATCTTAAGCACCGCGTCCAGCTCCCTATCAGACGGACAGTCCTGTCCCAGCCTGTGCGCGTTCCGTTTGCACATGACGCAAACCCTCGTCCGGCAGTACCTGCACACCGCTTCAAAGGGGTGCTTCGGGTCGATTTTGGAGGTGGGGGGGATGAACTCGCCGCAGGTGGTGTTTGGGCAAAAGATCCGGTTTTCCCAGGGGGTGGAGTACTGCTGGACCGCTTTGAGGAATAGCTGCTGTTTGTCACGAGGGAGGACGCTCTTGATGATGGGGGTGGGGATGGGCTGGGTGCAGCAGCGGGGAGGCATTTTGGACTCGTCCGAGGTGGACTGGGCGATCATGACTTCAAGACAATCTTGACAGTAGGTGTGGCCGCACGGGAGGGTTTGGAGGGTGTTGTTTTCGCGGGAAAAGTCTTCGCGGCAGCAGATGCAGGGGCTGTGAAAAAGGGGGTCAATATGGGGTTGAGGTGCCAACTCGAGCAAGAAAAACTTACATGGGCGTCAGAGAGGAAGGTGTAGCTCTCCTTCTCTTTAACCTGCTAGCAATGCTCCTCTTGAGATCCATCACCCCCTTCCTCGTCCCTGACCTAACCAATATCCCCACCGACCTCTCCGTCTTGTCATGCTGCGGCCTCATAAACTTGGGCTGATCCAGCGCAGGGTTGATCTGGCCTAGATACTTCTCATACTGCGAAAAAGTCAAACTCCTCGACCTCCTCCTCGCAGCCGACTCCGTCAACGTTGCCGGCAGCACTATCGAGTGGCGCGACGCATGTGAACCAGAACCAGAGTTAACCGTCTCGTTCGAGCTCGTCGACGACACCGTCCTCCCATGCTGCCTAGTAAAAGCACCATCCGACTCACCACTCGACAGCTGCTCCTCCACCGTCAACCTCGCCCCCCCTTCAATCGGCAGCTCTATCCCCAACGCCGCCGCCTTGTCAGCAAGTTCCGACTCGATATCCGCCTCTGTTTTGCCGTCGGGTGGTTGCTGCTGCCCCAGGACCTCGCGGAGATAATCGATATCGCTTAACTCGGGTGGGCCACCGCCCGTGGTGGTGACGACAGGGCTGACAGGATTCGAGGTTGGGTTGTTCAGGATGGGCGACAGGGTAGTAGCCATCGCCATGGCTGCTGCCGCAAAAACCAATTAATATTCCAGTATAAAAAATTTATAAAAAAAATAAATAAAAATAAAAAGAAAAGCAAGCAGGACCGTATCCGATCAAACGGTGTTTTCTGGGAGTTTTCGAGGCATGACATGCGAAAATGACCTCTTGAGTGGTCCCATATGGTTGTTGTTCGAAGCGCCGTCGAGGGGTGGTGACGGGGGTGGGTGGGGGTTAGTGGATGGGGTTATCGCAGTTGCCAATCCAGCTTCCGGACAAGGTGAGGACCCTCTTCTCTCTCTTGGGTTGTAGGTGGGCTGTCTTGGCCGATCGTGCCAAGTCGGCAGGCCAATGTCAGAGTTGTGTCTATCCGCACGGGCACGGCCCGAGAGCTTGGGGCCAGCGCGATGGAGACGGGTCAATTCTCTGCTGTTGTTTGGAAAAGGAGAGAAAAAGGAAGAGATGTTGTTTGTGCAACTTGCAGGAATGGAATTGGGGCTGGGCTGTGTGCCCGTGTGCTTCGCGGTGAGCCGGATGACAGCTCTGAATAACTTGACTGGACACACACAGCTGGCCGCGGGTGACGGCCCAGTGTGATAGGCTCCAGACGGGGTCGCTCTAGATTCCGGGCCGCCGATTTTGGACTTTTTGCGCAGTCAGTGACCAGGCCTTGTCCTGGCTTGTCTGCCCACTACCTCGTACGATGAGTGATGACTTGTTTTTCCCACTATCTGACTGACATTGACATTTGTTCCGGGAGAAATGTGTAAAATGTCTGGTTAGCAACGGCAAGCAATCTGGAGCCTCTCTGCCTCCCGTCTCGGTCGTTTGTCTCGGCATACGCTTTTGGTCTTAATCATCCGAGGTAATATGCGAATACAAGCACACATCAACCGGGAACTTGGTGCGCCAGCCAACTTTGGGAGGACCCAAGCATTTTTCGACGACGTTGATGCACCTGACGCCTGCATTTTCCTCCCGCCGGTTGGCTCGGCCGAGGGTGGTGCATCTGGGAACGGTGTGTTTAAGCCCCTTTCTATCACCATCACAGCACACAGATGGGTAAATATCATGTCTACCGGATATATCACCAAGTGAAATTCTACCGAGAGGCAAAACCCCTTCTCACAAACAAGACAGCCAGCCAGTTGAGTAAGACATCCCAAAACCGTGCCTCACATAATCGAATCTTAGCTCCCCGCCGATCACCTCCCCCGTCTCATCAACAAAAACCAAAAACCAAAACCTGCGAGTTATCAAGCCACACTCGACACCTTGCATCCGGTGAGCCTTCAAACGACGATAATCCTTCCCCCTTCGTCTCTCGCGGCTAGACCTCATTCCGAAGGGCATCTCCAGCCGACAGACTCGCACAAAGATGCTGCATCCACTCCCAACCCAGTCCATGCAATTCCTCATTGCGGTATAGAAACCCAAAGCGGTGTATTTCCATCTGCCCAACGACCCGTGTGACAGTGTCTCACGAGTCCAAAAACTCATCCGCCACCACCACCTATGATTGTGATCATCTGCCCTTCATTGGGTGACCAGCTTTTTACAAAAGAGACCTCGTCACATTTCCCTTGCCCAATGCCTATCATATGCCCGATTCTGGCTTGACCGGTAAAGATCAGATTGTTGATTTGGCAACCCACCCTCCCCGAACCCGAACATCTTACCGCTCCCAGGTCAATCCAATCGAGCCTTGTATACATAACTGCAGGTCTCACATCTCGGGATCATCCCTGCTTGGTACAAAGCTTCAAGCCCTTGAGTGTTGGGTGGGTTCCTTTACAGCAAAAAGCTGGCTGCACACCATCCCGATGCTTGTTTGCTCTTTCAGCTTCACCATTGCATTCGTAAGAATCCCATATTTCCCACAAAATAGGTAAAATTGTCGTATCATGATTTTTCCATCCCATCAAACAACCTCCCACCTCGCCAACCAACCTATACTCTCACCCGCATTCCTAACCACACAAAACTTCCCCTCCCGGGGCCCCGTCTCCCTCAACGTCTCGAGCGCCCTCCCCGCCGAAATCGACCCAATCGCCGTCCCCCTTCCCTCGCTGAGGCTGAACGCGCCCGTAGTCACAAACCCAATCAAGTCCTCCTCCCCAGGACAAAGCGGGTGACCCCCAAAATCCGTCTGATTACCCGCGGCGGGCTTGGGATAGGGAACCTCCACAGCCAGAAGTGACCCGGCCAGAATCTTCTTCCTGGTCTCCATATCCACCCCAACCGGCATCCTTGGAACAGCAGCTCCCTTTTTCTTGTCCCCATTCGGTACCTTGGAAAGCCATTGCTCGCTCAAGTCAACCGGCAACCCGTCCCTCGTCCTCGCCTCAGGCGTAGCAGGCACCTCCGCCTGCGTGGACGGAACGCCAACCGCACCTCCAACCTTCCCCCCCTTCCTCGGCAGCCGATAAATCCTCGCACAAGGCTTCGCAACCCCCCTCGTCACAAACTCCAACCCAACAGCAACAATCCCTCCCTCCGGCACCACCCCCTCCCCGCTTCCCGATTTCATCAATGCGCTAAACTCCGTCTTCGTCACCTGCCTGATCGTCATACCGACTGGAGATTGCGGCTGCTCGGCAGGTGGATCAACCACCATCGCTTCCGCGGCGGCATCCGGGATCGACACTGCGTCAGGTTTCCCCTGGGTTCGGGTTCGGGCTGACACCCCAAACAGGTACTCAAAATCACACGCCAACCCATCTCCGATCTCGCCTTTTCTCCCCGCCCCGAGATCGAGCGACTTCCATTCCAATCTCTTGCTCTTTGGTCGTCGATCCCAATCCCCCCTCCTCTTGGCCCTCTCCTCCAGCTCCCAGTTCATGCCGGCAGTCGTTGCCGGGAAATCCCCCGGGAACCATGGAGTCCCGTGCTCAAAAGCGATTTGTCTCTGCTCTTCAAGCCCTCCCAGCCGAGGGTTCCCGCCTGTGCTGACGGGGTACTGCATCAAGCAGTACCAGATGTGCTGGATGCATTTCCACGGAGCGAGTAATGTCCACGTACCCTGGGCCTGACCGTCTGTGCCAGGTCTTGAGGCGAGCAACATGACTGGAATGGGGGGGTCTGCTGCGGTGACCTTGATAGGCTCTCCTGGAGCATTCGCGCCTTTTCGGCGGTTGAGTGACTTTTGTGATGGCATTCTCGAAGCTTGATAGCGGCTCTCTCGGTCGAATATGTCGTATGGCTTGAGGTTTTCCTCGACTGGCCAATCTGTGAGTGTCTTGAGGATTGTCTGTTCGCCTCCGCTGGGAATCTCGACTCGCTTTGGGGGATAAGACAAACGCGGGTCCCTGGCCGAAAAGGCAAGAATTGCGTCCTTGGGCAGAGATGCCGGATTTGCTACTCCAGCGAGGGACCGGAAGACACTAGCATGGCGTTCGGCCGCTTCTGGTGATTCGTGAAAGGGTTCAAGAATTCCCAACAATGTTTCCGTAGAGGCCGGCCCAACTAGCTCAATGCTGCCGACTTCGAACCGTAGGTCCTCCACGTGAAGCTGAGGCTTCTGGCCTTTTGCAACCTTGAGTAACTCCTCAAATAATTCGAGGAAACAAGATGGATGAGTGCGAATAAGAATCTGTCTCCGGGGCTTCTTGGGCTTCTCAGACGTCTCCATCTCGTCCGAAGTTGTCGCAGGCGGTTGTGGGTTCCAGACTATCGTGGCGGGACCAATATCCCGTTTCGAACCCTTCTGTTGCCTGCTGACGGTACCTGTCCATTTCCGAACACCGGCCCTCCATTTCTTGCCTCTCGTATTCCAAAGACCCTCTTGTACCAACCCCAGATACCTTAACGCCCGCTCGAGACAGTCAGCCGTTCCATAAACCCCTATCGTGCTCATGTAACTGGTATCCCACGCAACCACCCCCTTTTGCCCGGAAGCACGATGTGTTGGTCGGTAGCACTTCGCCGTCGATGTGAGTGGAATGGCAAATCTCCACAAGGGGCTGCTTGGCCTCGTCATCGTGGCCCGTTTCGCATGCCATAAATGGGTTGGTAGCCAGGTCTTGTTAATCTGGCGTTTTCTGTATTTCGAGTCGGCTTTCGGTGGCTCGTTCAGCATGTTCCGTCGTATTTTTGGCCGTGGAGGTCTCGTCGTTACCACAGCTGATCCTCTCCTTTGCACCTCCTCCACCGCCCCATCACCGGCCTTCTTAGCCTTCCTCTTCCTTTTCTTCTCGGCCAAATATCGTAGCTTCCTCATCGTCTCGGCACGTATTCGGGCGCGGGTTGTGCGGGGCTTTCGTTTCCTCGACTCGACCGTCGGCGTATTGTCTTCCAGCATTTCCTTTCTCGCTTGCGCACGCAGTCTCTTTGGCACTCTCTTCACATTATGGCTTGCTGTCCTCCGGCGCATCGCGCGGGGCACCATCTGGAAAACGCGGGTGGCATTGATGGCCTTGCATTTGTTCATGCTTCTTTCGAGGGATTTGATTTCGAATTCGCGGGCATTGAGGAATCTGTTCAAATCGAGCTTGCCGTCTTCGAGCGCAGCATCGGAGGGCTGTGTGCGAATGGTGCGGGCAGTTTGAACTTTGGCGCGCTTGGTGTTGCGCGTGTTGTTTGGTTGGCGTCCGTGGCTGTCTTTGCCTCCTCCTGGAGGGTCTTTTCGTTTCACCATCTTGGCTGTGGTCTTGGGAAGTACGAGAATGCGGTGAAAACCTCCCAACTGAGCCCAGTCCCGAATAATTCTGTTTTGTCGTCGAGCTTGTTTGCTGTGTAAATGAAGTCACTGTTTAACTTTGGACCGTGAATTTTTGGAGCTCTTATCTTATCAGATGGCCCCTGCACTAGGCCCAGGACGACTTGGCGTGCCCCTCGGCCCAAGCTCCACCCCCGGCTGTTCCCTGACAGGGGCGAGATCCCCCAAGAACCCCTTGGCACCACCAGCCAACGACCAAGCAGGTTTCAGCAACCACCTCTTTAGAAGCATTTCAATGCCTGGCATTGAGTCCACCGGCGCGTTCTGAAGCCGCCAGAGAGTCTTCAAAGCACAATCCAGGTTAGTGAACTTGTATATACTCCCCACTGACGTTCCATCGCGATTAGAGCCGAATGTCCCGCGGTCTCGGTGCTTCCGGCGATACTTCTACCTTACATTCCAAGTTTTGACGATACCTTGCCCTGCCCTGGACTTTGCCGTACCTTACCACACTACTACTGTACCTAAATACCGCGGGCGATAAGCTGATATACGGTATTATAGTCGCAATCTGGAAGAAAGTCACCGAACCTGGACCTGTCGCGCCCCGACGTCAGCCTCCGGTTTCGACGAAACGGTCCGCCATCTGACACTCTCCAGTAATAGCCCGTCTCATGTGCATCAATCAATCCATACCATAGGCTACATACCTTCATAATCTGTGCTAGTGACAAGTCATGGCATCCCTAAGTAAGCTTGACTAGCAATTCTTTTTTTTTTTTTTTCCTCTTTCCTTTTCACCACTCGTCTTATTCAACCTGCCTCCCTTGCCTCTGAAGAAGCTCTTCAGCCAATCTGGTTTCACTGGCATTTCACGCTTCATTGTTCATTGTCTTGCATTTGGCAACATCACCCAAACCGTTGCTCCAACATTCTACCGGTACACGAGCCGCAACAACGTCTTTATACCAAACCACCAAACCAACCGTGCACCAACCCTAAAACTCCCGTCTCTTTACTTCGGACCCAACGGGAGATACTTTACGTCACTTGGTCATAACGGTCTCAGACAGCTGACATGCGCATCTTTCCTATAGTGAGCAAATCTAGAAAGGTATGTTTTTTTTCCCACTTCTCTTCGTGCACCAGTTTGATTGGGTACGAGTAAGGTGAGACAATGAGACAGCTAACATCGCCCCTTTCTCCACAGCCTAGGTTCGAGGTACATCTCAAGGTAAGGCTCAATAACATCCCCTTCTCTGTGACTAAGCACATGGCTTACAGCTGATTAGATATACGACCTCAACAACGTGCCACTCGTGTCGGGAGTGTCACTGATCAAATGGCACCTCCCCCACAGCATACACAGTGAACAACGAGGGCGCACACAAAAATGTCCCATTCAAAATCACCGGGTAGACTATAACTACACCCGTGTCTTCTCGGTCCGCATCGGCATCGACCGGAACAGCAACCTGGTGGAATGCCCTATAGAGTTCGAAGTGCTCCAAGAGTTCAGCGGCCCCGGCACCGCCAGCACGAGCGGCCGCGATGAGAAAATCAGCCTTGGTGTCGTCCGTCTCAACCTAAGCGAGTACATTGAGGAAAGCGAGGCCATCCTCCGAGATGGTGTCATTCTCGGCGGGCCAAGTCTAAGGGATATCTTCTCCTCCCCTACCAGCCGCGATCTCAAATCCGGCGCCAGCAGCCACCACCGCAAACGCAGCTCCCTAAGTAACACCACCGTCCCGGAGACCCTTGACGGCAGCCCCCGCTCCTCTCCTGCGTCAGAAGCAGAAGACGACAGCAACACCACCAGCCCCATGTCCGAGGTCCGTGATGGCGTCATGCGCCGGTATCTGATGCAAGAGTCCAAAATCAACTCGACGCTCAAAATTTCCATCCTCATGATCCAAGTGGACGGCGAAAGGAACTACGCGGCTCCACCCCCAAAATCAGCCCCTGTATTCGGCGGCATCGCCGGTTTTGTCGCCGGCGAGGCCCTCGAGCCGGTTGACGTGGGGAAATCGTCCAACGGGCACGTTCCCTCTTCCCTCGTTGGAAAATCTCGTGACGTGTTTGAAGCGCAGGATATGTACCGCCGCGCTTTGGCAGCCAGCTGGGCCAGCCAGCCGGGCGAGCTCCCCGCAGACGAGTGCATCGAGGATATCTTCTCCGGCGGCGACGGGTTCCGTCGCGCGTCCAAAGCCCCCAATGGAAGGGGGCACACCAGACGGACAACGGTCCTGCCGGGCCGCTCCCCGTCCGCAAACCGCCTCTTGCCGTCGTTCAGACACGAATCGAGCAATCCCGCTGATGAGACGGACGACGAGGGGGAAAGCCACAGCTCGCAGGACATGATGTCGTCCACCCTTCGCCCGCGCGACCTCCACCGATTCCGCCATCACCTGAGGCACAGGAGCGGGTCGAGTGATGGGGATACTGTCCTGGGTCAACAACACCAAGATCAACAGCCCGACTTGAACCGGGAGTCGTCGCGGGGTGTTGGGCTGGGTGTGGCCGGGGGGATGAGGCAGTTGCACAGGAGGGAGGAGAGCAAAATCACGCACGCGGGGGATTTGAGGAGTCGGAGTTCGAGTTTGGTTACCGTCGGGAGCCGGTTCGGCAATAAGGAGAGTGGCGGGACGACGACGGGGAGCAGTGACCACCATGAGAGGGAGAGGACGAGGGGGTTTGGGTATTTTAAGCGGGGGAAGGAGGTGGACGAGATGGAGGTGAGGGAGGATTTGGTTGCTTGGACGGTTCCCTCTTCTGGTGGGGAGGCCGGTGTGGTGGTTTAATCAGGTTGTTGGCTGGGGTGATGAGTTTTCAGTTGGGAAAAGAGCAAGCAAGCGGGCGGTTTGTTTCTTTTGTTGTTGGACATGTGTGTGTGTGTGTGTGTGTGTGTATATATGGCAACACACTGGTTTCTAAAACACTAGCCATCCCTCCCCTAAGAGGATGGGCAATTTTTAATGACACTTGAATTTGGCTGATTGAAACCGTTCTGGCACATGACATAATTCATAATATATTTACGCTTCCCAACCCCCATCTCGCAAGTTCACATACGCCCACCTGCGTCCCACAGCAAATGACATGCCATATAAACCCCCAACCATATCCATTACAATGAGAAGAAACAATCAACAAACAACCGCTGAGTCTATTGATGACAATGCCTGCCTATCCATTCCATAGAGGCTTCCCCTGTCTCGAGCGCCTTTTCGTTTTCCTTTTAACCCTTCCATGCAGCTGGTGGTTATCCTCCTTCTCCGTTTCCTCATCACCGAGCCCCCGCCGAAAACTCATACACTATCTCAAAGTCTTCATCCTCCTCCTCGTCCCAACTATGCCCGTACAATTTGTAACCTCCCACCTCCTCCGATGCATCCGACCCCGCCTTATGGTCACAACCAACGCCAAGGCAGTCTCCCCGAATGCACCCCGTATACAAGGAAGCCGGCCACTCAGTTGTAGTCTAATTCCTGAGCAAGTCTTGGGGGGTCCACTCATCCAGCTCCATGCCTTTTAGCAGGAGCTTTTGTGTCTTTTTATCAACGGTTTGCCCTCGCCCGAGCTCGCCAACCTTCTAAGCGTTCAGTTGGCCTCTCACACCGCCCTGGGCGCCAACTTCTCTCGTCGTGAGAATGACGGAAAGATCGGCGTTGACCTGGACAGTAACCTCGACCTTGCCGCCCTTCTTCACATTGCGGATGGCAGCCTCGGCAAGGGTGTTGCCAATCTTCCATACCTTCTCGCGCTTCTCCTCTTCTTCCTCGTCGTCGTCGGAGAAGTCAGACTCTTCGTCAGAGTCAGCAGCATCCTCGACCTTGGCGGTCTTGTCCTCCTTGGGCTTGGGCTCAGGCTTGGTAACCTTGATGTGGGTGTTGCCCTCGACGAACTTGACAAGAACATCACCGCCGTCTTTGGGCGCGGCGACGTGGACTGTCCTCTTGGCGGGGACGGCAGTCTCGGCGGGAACAACAGGAACGAAGATCTCCTCGCCGGCAGCGTTCAGAGAGACGACACCAATGGCGTTGCTGGTGTGGGCCACAGTGGTGACGGCAGCGTGGGTCGACTGGTCGATGTCGTCGGCCTCGTAATCCTGGATCAGGCTGGCCTGGAGAGCGGCGCCACGGGCGCCGAGCTCGGAAGGGTTGATGGCATAGGGGTTGGTGGAGGGGGCCAAGATTCTGGTGGTCTGGGGGAAGATGTTGCTGAAGTTGGAAGCAATGCGAGGAGTGTGGGCAGTGCCACCAGACAGAATGACCTCGTCAACGTCAAGAACGTCAAGGCCAGCCTTCTTGATGACAGACTCAACCAGGCGGTTGATGCCCTCGAAAACGGTCCTGGAAAGAGTCTCGTAACGGAGGCGGTTGATGGTGCTGGCGAAATCGATACCGTCGGACAAGCTTTCAACGCTGAAGCTGGCGTTGGCACCGATGCTGAGGGCCCTCTTGGTGGCCTCGGCCTCGAACTTGAGCTTGGCGAGGCCTCTGGCGTTCTCACGGGGGTCCTTGGCGCTGGGGTTGCGCTTGAGGAACTCCTTGGCGAAGTGATCCATCAGGATCTTGTCAAGAGCAACACCGTTGAACTCGTAGTCGTGGGCAGTGGCGAGGACGGTGTACATGCCTTGACGGCTGGCAATGACGGCAACGTCGGAGCGGGTGCCGCCCAACTCGGCAACGACAACGATCTTGTCCTCGACCTGAGCCTCGGGGCGCGCATCGTAGGCGAGCGCCGCAGCGACAGGCTCGCTGATTAACTGGAGAACCTCGAGATCGGCAGCGTTGGCAGCAGCAAGAAGGGCGGCCTTTTGCTTGTCGTTGAAGTTGGTAGGGACGGTGATGACGGCAGAGGTGACCTTCTTGCCAAGGTAATCGGAAGCAGAGCCGACCAGGCGACGGAGATAGCGGGTGGCAACCTCGGAGACGGAAACGGTGGACGGCTCAGCGTCCTCCTCGGCCTTGTCCTTGATGGTGAAAGAGACGGCTCCGTCAACATCCTTGGGGTGCGCAGAGGCGTGGTTGTGGGTAGGGTCGATATGCTCGAAGCTGCGGGCTTGTTAGTAACTGTCGTTGTTGTCTGACATGGCCACATACTCTTTCCCGAGGAAGTCACGGAAGTAGGCGACTGTGTTATTTGGGTTTCTGATCAGGAAAGCCTTCGCCTGTTGACCGTAGTACTCATCGCCGTCGACGTAGGAGAGGATTGTTGGGATCTGACGGTCTGTTCCGGGTGTGTTAGCGCTTGGAGGAACCAGGGGCCTCGAGTCTGATGCTTACCTCCGTCCTCGTTGGCGATAACCTCAGCCTTATCGTCGACAGTGTAGGCGATGGAGCTGTTGGAGTTGCCAAAGGTCAAGCCAATGACGGTCCGGTTCTCCGGCGCAACAGACTTGGCACCGCTCATTTTGACTGTAACTGGCGATATTTGCGAAGGAAGGGAGGATTCTTGAGGCCGAAGAGGGGTGATGATGTCTCTTGAAGCGGCGTGGGAATGGCAATTCGTAGTTAAAAATTGGTCAACAGTGGTGGGGGATCCAAAAATTTCCACTGTCAAAAAAATATTGGCCCAAGTCTTCGCAGGGATGCGGGACACTGTGGGGCCCACATCGAGGTACCAGTGACATGGTGAATATGGGGCGCGGTTGGTCGCGGAGCAGCATTTGGTCTCCTATTCACCTATCAAGCTGAGTTATAGTTTCTCTGAGCAAGACAAGGCTCAGGTGGAGGGACCCTCGTAGTCATAGAAAGAGAGTTTTCTTGTTCACTGCTGCTATGGTCGTTGATCACTGCTGTACCAGCAACCTTGCTTGGACTCCACCAAGGTCAGCCCAACCACAAGTCCAGAAGGTTTACAGACCCAAGGTCGAATAGACTTCACCACCTCTGCGGCCTTGAACGACAGGCTTCTTCAGATTCTTTTTGATTCACTGTCTTCGTCTTGTAGCCAAATATACCAGGCAGCCGACTAACTCTATACCTAATCCTGCCCGTTGCCGTGACCCGCCCCGTGGACCCAACTTACCCACCCAAGATCAACGAACGAACAGCCCCACCAAGGCTGCACCTGAAGCGCAATCGATATCCGCATCGCAAGGCTGAACTGGAAATTTCCCCAGACCAAACCAAACCAAACACCTACATCCCAAACCGCCATCTCTTTTTGATACCCCTATCGCCGCCACGACAACACCAATTCTAGCCCCAATAATCGGAGAAACTTGCCATCTTTCCCAAATCACAACCACAACCCACAAAATCACAATCGCGCGCCCACCATGACAACCACCGAACGCCCCCTAGTCCTCCCCGGCGACCCCATCTCCCCAGATCTCATCCCCTCCTCCACCTCCAAACCGCTCCGCCTTGGCCCCGGCCTCCGCCATGTCCCCCCAAGCGACATCGTCCCCGTCGTCGCCGGCCAGCTGATCACCAACCACCAAAAGAACTCCATGTGGGTGGAATACAACAGCAACCGGGTATGTCCCCCCCGCCTTCCCCCTTCCCGCCTCCCCCATTCACAATTCCCACTAACCCATCCATAGTACATCCCAGCCCCAGGCGACCTAATAATAGCTCAAATCCTCCGCTCCGGCCCAGACCTCTACTTCACCTCCATATCCCCCTACACACCCCCCGCGACCCTCCCCCACCTCTCCTTCGAGTCGGCCACCAAGAAGACCCGGCCTCAGCTCGCCCCGGGAGCCCTCGTCTACGCCCGCGTGGTCTTGGCAAACAAGCACATGGATCCCGAGATCGAGTGTGTCTCCCAGTCCACGGGGAAGTCGGACGGCCTGGGGGAGCTGAAAGGGGGGATGGTGTTTGATGTTTCGTTGCAGTTTGCCAGACGGTTGCTCATGGCGAAGAGCAAGGAGGAGGGAAAGGTGGAAGTGCTGGAGCTGCTAGGGGGGGAGGGGTTGGCGTTTGAGATTGCGGTGGGGAGGAATGGAAAGGTTTGGGTTGGGGGGGAGGATGTGAAGGCTATTGTGGTGGTCGGGAGGACGTTGAGGGAGACGGATGAGGGGGGGTTGGGGGTGGAGGCGCAGAGGAAGTTGGTGAGGAGGTTGGCCAAGGGGATGAAGTGAGGGGGATAAGTTGGAGAGGAGAGATGTGTGAGATGATGATACCAATACGACCAAAGTAATGTTCGATCTTCAAGAGATCAAACGACTCGAAAATAAAGCTTGGATGGATGGCTGAGCAGGTGCAGGCATGTCACATCAGTAACGCACACGAGACAGAAAAGGTCATCAACACTCGCCAAAAAGCGGAAGTAATGCCGCGCGTATAGCGCGTTTCCATTTCAAAGTCGTTACCCCTATTAAATCTAGGGTTACGAACTAAAAAAAAAAAGACATCAAAATCAAGCCAGGAGCCCTTCCATGACTTTTTCGCTGATCCCCAAAAAAAAATCGAAAATACATGTACAAAAACAAAGCAAGAGAAATGCTATGTCCTGTCTTCCATATCCAGAGAGAGAGAGAGAGAGAGAGAGAGAGAGAGAGAGAGAGAGAGAGAGAGAGAGAGAGAGAGAGAGAGAGAGAGAGAGAGAGAGAGAGAGAGAGAGAGAGAGAGAGAGAGAGAGAGAGAGAGAGAGAGAGAGAGAGAGAGAGAGAGAGAGAGAGAGAGAGAGAGAGAGAGAGAGAGAGAGAGAAATCTTGAAACGCTTTCAATGCCCGCTTGATATCACCCGAAAAAAATTCCACCCTTCCGGAAAAAAACATAGATGGCCTGCTTTTAAACCAGTATCTCCTGGATTTTGTTCCTCCATGTTGGGTATAAACGAACGTTTCCTTTGCGAGGAATGTTCCGCACTCCTCGCCATAAATTCCCCCCACCCGCTCCCCCCTTTTTCTTCAAAGTTGATTATACACCAACCATCATCTCATCGATAAACTCCGGCTCGGGATCCGTTGTTGGTGTAAGCTGGTGCTTGTTGACCATGTGTCTCCTCCAGTTGTCCTTGCGTGGGAATGACTTGCCCCCTTGCTTCGAGTAAGGGCAGTCGTGGACGGTGCAGTAAAACTTGCGGGTTTTGAAGTGCTTGTCGTTGATGTGCCTGTCTAGATGGGTCTTGGTGCCGAATCTCATGGTGCAGCCTGCGTGTGGGCACTCATGCGGTCGGTCGTGGTAGCGTTTGTGGTGACTGGTGTATGTGTTAGAACACGGGCCTGCAGGAGAGGATGAGATGGGAACATACTTGAGCTTGTGGATCTGATCAAAGATGCGATCACACTTGTTGCAGGCAAAGGCCTTCTCTTGTCCCCCGGGTGATAACCCCGCCGGTGTGGCTGGTGACGGGGCCGAGAGCCCTGGAGAAAGGGTCGATGATGGATGTGGGGACTGGCCTGGTGATGGGATGGGAGAGACGTTGAGGTACATTCCATTGTGGGGGTCGAGTTCGGATGGCGGTGATGGGGATGCCGTGTACGCAGTGAGGCGTGTGTCAGGGGTGTTTTGGACGGTCGAGGGAAGTGATGGACCTGACGGTGGTGGCGTCGAGTAATCTTGAATCACGGTGCCGTTACCGTCGTAGTAACCTAATGGAACGCCAAAATCTTGCACCAATCCCATCTCTGGCGTCTGCTGGTATGAAGGCTGATATGGTGGGGACTGATAGCTTTGTTCACCAAAGCTTTGCTGGTTCAGGTTGAGGCTCTGTTGGCCAATATTTTGCTGGCCAAGGTTCTGCTGGCCAAGGCTTTGCTGGCCAAAGTTATACTCTGGTTCTGGTGACAGGCCAGCTCCGTTGATGTACTGGACCTGGTGGTTCTGGTCGATATACTGCAGCTGAGGCTCCTGGGCCATTGTTGGTGGGAAGGTGTCAGTTGGCGGTGAAGGGGCTGGGGGTGATGGCGAGTTCTCGGCCTTGAGAATCTCCTGTTCGACCATCCAAGCGCTCTCGACCTGATTCGTGGGGTTCATAAAGTCCATAGGGTTGCCGCTGGGGCCGGCAGTATAGCTGAACGGGGGACTCGGGATATCCGACACGATGGTGGGTGGAGGCAGACTATCGACACGCTGGAGTGGCCCTGGAACTTTATTCCGCTGGCTGAAACTATGCAGTGGGTTGATAGGCGTGACAGTCTGGTCACCGTCAGGTGAAGTGATGTCGAGTCCAAGTCCAGGGAATGGATGTTGACTTGGCGACACTGGGTTAGGCAAGACCGAGGCTGAAGCGTAAGTCGCTGGCGGCACAAAGGTCAAGTCTGCGGGGTTGGGGATGGTAGTAAAGGTTCCTGGTTCCGTGTAAATAACTGGTTCGCTGAACTGGGAAAGGTCCGTTCCTTGGGGAAGGGCGTCACTACCTGGTGGGAGAGTCGGGTCGTTATAATAGCCCCAGTTGAGACCACTCGGGTCGGGATGGTGCTCCTCGATAATAGGTTGGCCGACGGGTTGTCCTGGTATCGGCTCCTGGTAGGCAAGAATATCGCCTGTGAGAACAGAAGACGAGCGGGTGCCGGTAGATCGCTTGCTGTCCCGACGTCCCTCGCCAGATGAAGTCCGGAAGATACTAGTGAGTTTCTCTCGGAAAGTGGAGCGTTGCGAAGGGGGCTCAAAAGACTCGGGCTCCTCGACGATGTTGCTAAAAGTGCCCTGACGACTTGGCGAAGCGAACGAAGAGTCAAAGTTCAACTGGCGTGTGCTGTCCTTGCCGGTGGTGCCTTTTGAAGCGGAACGTGACTTTGACGAGGCACTCGTTGGTGAGCGGATCGGACCGGCTGCCGGTGAAGATACTGCCTGGCCTCCAGTTTGGGCCTGGCCGGGGAAGGACTCGGACCGGGGTGACGGCGAAGCAGATGGCGAGATGGGCGACGGGAGACCTTGGTCAAGAGAAACGCCTTGCGGGAGGGCTGGCTGAGAGGGAAGCTGATCCAAGCTGGTCTTTGTTGGTGATGTATTCTGGCCGTTGATATCTGGTATGCCGTGTGCGGGTTGTTCGTGAGCGGTGCCAGCTTGACTATCGGAGCCAGGAACTAGGTGATCCTTTGAATACTTTTTGGTAGAATCGTCATCAGGATGAGTGAAGTTGGGGCCTCCGGGGCTCTGCCCCATCTCTGCCAAGGTGTTTTCATCATGACGGTTGACCCATCGCCGTCTTGCAAAGGGAAAGATGCAGAGCAGGATAATGAGGACTCCCACCACTGATCCTACCACTGCCCCCGCAATGGCACCGGCAGAGAGCGGCGATGTCGACCTGGCGGCGAGCACCGAACGCTCCGCAAAAACCGGCATGATGCAGAGACGGTGAGCGGTCAATCGCTGGTTTACGGATGCGCAAAATGCCGGTGAGCGAAAAAGAGGCCGTCGCCGGGTAAAGAAATCAATTCGACGTGTCGTTGAAAGGGAGTGTCCAAGCCACGGTGCGTTGTGTCCCACAATGGGCGAGGCTGTGCTAGCACCACGGAGCACCCGACAAAACCATGAAAGACCAGCACGAGCACGCTTCCTTGCAACAAAAAAAGATTCCTCGGTGAGAATTGAGAGAGAAAAAAGAAGAGGGGTCCAATGGGTGTCGGGGGCTGGGCTAACGTCAGGCAGCAGAACTCATGAGAACGGCCATGTTGAGATTGAGAGAGATGCGATGATGAGTTGAGTTGAGAAGACCTGTTGGTAAGTGAGCAGAATGGGATGAACAGATGGAAGAGGCGGAAATCACGTCGGGTCACTGTGGAAATGCCCAGCGCGCTCTCCAGCAGTTTGGGGCCTTAAGATTAATCGCTTCAGCCTCACGAACAGCGACCTCGTTAGCGAGCGAGACCCCTACCCCTTCTGGGACTGGTGGATGGGACGTCGACTTGGGATGCTGTGGCAGGTGAGATACCGATTTCCAGGATTCTGACTGGACAAACCGGTGGCCTCTCCCTCCCCCGGCTCCCTCTTCCCAATCCTCCCCGCCACCGTGCCGTGCCTCAGCCATGGTGGACAACGAGCAGGCCAAGCTTTTACACCTCACACCTCAGATATTCTTCGAGGGCGATGCCCCACTTGAAGTCATCAACACAAATGATAGAACCCGGCAGTCTGGTACCAAGCGCCGACTTGAAACAAGCGTAGACGTTGGCAGCTCCGGAGGCTGTGCTAGCTTTCGATCCACCCTCGGCAACTGGGTATCTTTGTGACCTTGCATTGTTACAGCTGTGGCTTCTCAACATATCTATATCTCTAAGAATACTTTGGCTGATCATGAGTGGCAGGCATCAGTAATGCCATCTCTTGACACACATGCTGTCCTACGTGCGAGACCGGCCTCTCCGGCTGTGTGATAGCTCGGTATATGCCTGGCATATCAAAAGATGCACATGTGGGCATTGAAGCTTTTGCTGTGTCGTTACATTTCAAGATGGAAGCTCAGCCCTCTTATGCGGGGAAGAGCTCTATCACACATGGAGAGCAATCCCACCCTCCATAAATGATAGACAGGCATCCAAGACCAACGGTTCCTTTCCGCCGACGCAAACAGGTTGACATGGACGACCACAGACATGCAGCAATCGGATCTCGGGGCATACGGAATGCCCGACCTCGAAAGTTGGCAGCCAAGGTGAACACTCCCAAGTCAATGATGGATGGCTCAGTGCTGTCCGCTGTTCCGTTGGCGGAATGAGAGCAAGTTCGGTGACAAGACAATGACGCAGTTGCCCAACAGTTCGCCATACCAAATAAGCAATACGCGGAACATGAGATGGGACCTTTACAAGGTTTGGTCTAACGATTGAGGAAGCTTGAACAAAGCATCCCGATGAGGACGGATCGAAACGGCTCTCGATTCAAACTGCGGGGTGGGCAGCCAATCAGTTGAGCCGAATCGACAGATGACGCCGTTATTGGGGGTTATGGGGAGATGGGGAGATGGGATGCCTGTATGTCCGCGCGTCCCACCATCAGGTATAACAAGTCTGAGAAGGAACCTGAGATGGAAACCTGAGTTGGGGAGCCTAGTTTCCCTTGAGAGATCTAGTTCTCGTCTTTGAAAACTGATCCGGAATAGTCTCGCTCTGGGGCTTGGTGACCATGAAGCATCTAACCGTTCTCTTTGCGGCTACCGCAGCCGCTCTGGTTGCCCCTGATCAGGCAATTAAGCTTGACGAGCAACAACCCGCCGTCTCTCCAGATTTGGTACAAACCTGGTGGGATTCCACCGTCTCCCGCTCGGCCAAGATCTTTACCAAGATCGAGAAACGCATCGAAAAGGCCAGCAGCGAATTCGACGGCTACTCCTTCGACGGCTTCGACGGCTTCGACGGCTTCAACAGTGACAGCAACTTACCCCCTCTGCCTCTTCACGAGCGTAAGCCCCACCGTGGCGACAAGACCAAGACCATCTACGAGTTGATAAAATCCAACAAGTACACCACCAAGTTCGCCTCCCTCCTTGACAACGATGACTTCTCCGACATCAAGGACCTCCTCGACTCCACCTCCCACAACAAGACCCTTTTCGTCCCTACCGACAAAGCCTTTGAGCGCATCCCCCACCACGGCGACAAGCCTCCCCCCAAGGAGTTCGTTCTGGCCCTGTTGAAATACCACATCGCCCCCGGCCTGCACACCAAGGTCGATCTTTACCACAAGCACACCCTGCCCTCCAATCTGTCGCTCGACACCCTCGGCTCCCGCCCCCAGCGGCTGAGGATCTCAACCGGGCTGCTGTTCTCCATCAGGATCAACGTCATCTCCAAAATCGTCTACGGCAACATCCTCGCCAAAAACGGCATCATCCACGCCATTGACCACATCCTCATCCCACCCCCTTCCCAGGAGAAGATCATCTCCCTGCTGCCCAACACCTTCAGCACCTTCTCCCTCGGTCTGGAAAAGACCGAACTCTCCGTCCCAGACCACAAAGGCGGCACCCTTTTCGCACCAACCAACTCGGCCTGGCGACGTCTCGGCCCCCGCGCCAACGCCTTCTTGTTCTCCCATCACGGGTTGAAGTACCTCGAGGCACTGCTCAAGTACCACTTTGTCGTCGACCAGACCCTCTACAGCGATGCCTTTTACAATCGTCACAAGGACGAGAAGGCTGCTGTGGAAGATGCAGAGGGCGGAAAGTATTGGCATGTGGATCTGGAGACGCTGCTGGACGACAAGGCAATCGCGGTTGACGTCAAGAGGTGGAAGGGGTGGGTCAGTATTGTGCTGAATGGGTTCACCAAGGTGATCTTCCAGGACGGGATTGCCAGCGATGGTGTTGTGCAAGTGGTGGGGAAGGTTTTGATTCCGCCTCATGGGCATCACGGACATGCTGGGGAGGATGACGACAAGGATATTGAGGTTGAGGAGTTGAAGGCTAGGCTGGAGAGGTATGTGGACAGAGACGAGGCCGGGGATTTGTAGAGAAGGATTGCGGTTGGATCTGGGTCGGGATTTTGGGATATGCTAGGAGGTTTGGGGAAGAAGCCCACCCCCGCTCGTGGTAAAACAGGACACTCGCTCGAGCGGCAGGATACTTTTGATTTCATGACATGTATAGCAAGATTGTACCAAACACCGTTCTAGCTGCGGTATTCTGACCACAGCTTCTGTATCAAAAATAAACGCCACAAGGTAGTTACACCTTAAATCACAACATCAACCACCACCCCCACCACCCCCAGTCTCGTCCTCCTGTAAT